TAATCACAGTGTCAAATTATGTTCCTATATATACAAACTTAGGCCTGGCTTGTGTATAAAGCCAGATGACCTCTGGCTCCATACACCATGGTGATCTGAATGGCCAGGAAACAGATGTTGTATTTATTTACTCCCTTTCCTGCAATGTTTTAATGAATTTAGTTTTTGTGACTAGGCGGAGGTAGCAGAATCAGGCCCTCTCCATTTCCTGTCCCATAGTTTTGCTCCTTTGGTGAAAGGAGTCTTTGTCATTAAATTAATGCCTTTGTTGTTGTTGCCCTTGTTTGCAGAATCAAATGAACAGAGTTGGGCTTGCGTAGTTGGAAGGATTATGCAGTAGTGGCTCGGCTTTGTATACAGACTAATTCTAAGAGCTTTTTTCTTCAACAGGGCAAGTAGTTAGGAAAGATTTTGTTGCTGTTTTTCTGCGTAGTTGTGTCTGCCTCGTCAAGTCTATTGAAGTTGGATCAGATTATTCTGCTTTGAGTGTTCAGATGCTGGATTGTGGTACAGTTAAAGAGTGCTGTCTTGGAGTCAGTGCCACAATTCCATATTTTACTTGTCAGTTATAAGTTATTTAGATTCTGTAGAGAGGTGAGGGATTTAGGTATGTAAGTAGATAAATGCTCTCACTTTTTTTGTAAGAAACATGCTGCTATCAGAGAAAGGAGCTTATTTCTGATAGAAAACGTAGTTTTCCACTGTGACTCTGCAGTGGCAATATATAGAAAATATTATTTTGAGTAAACTCTGCTGAATATTCCTTAATTTAAATAAGTTGTTTTTCATCAGCTAGGTTTTATTCATAACCCTGTAAAAGATGCTTTTTTTTTTTTTTTTTTTTGCATTTAATATAATCCAGTATGTGTGTCTCCAGACTTCCCTAAGTTAGGAAGCAGCCACAAGTGAAGTTGTGGCCTCATGTTGATCTGGACCACTTCAGGAATTTATTTGTGGGTGGAGGTCCACCTTCACCCAGGCACACTGTAGGCTTGCATTGATATGAAGTTAATTTGGACAATATTATCCTTTTTAGTATGTTACACACAAGTGTTTTTACTAGGAAGCTGCCCTGCATTCTGTTGGAAACAAGATACCTGTCATTCTTCCATCTGTTTTGGTCAGCATAGCCAGTGCGTACATTGCACAGCTGTGTCCAACTTCTAGTTTTGTTTGGGGCCACTATGTTATCAGGACAATTCATTTATTAATGGTGCAATAAAGAAAGATGAGGCTGTTTATCTAAGTGATGTTTAGCTTTTTAATGCAAGATTTGTAAAGCATGCACTATAAATGAATTTTGTTACAGGGAAGTGACCTTTCATGCCCACTGGGTGACCAGTGGTTTAGAAGATGGGGTCATGTTGTATAATAATACTGTGTTTCATTTGCATTTTAACCTGTAGAGGCAATTATCAAGAAAACACACCTGTAATGGCTTTCCACTGAAGTTCAGCACTTTTATTACAGGTTGCCCCAGAAGAATTCAAGACCAGCATCGGTCGTGTGAATGCCTGTTTAAGAAAGAATCTCCCTGTCAATGTAAAATGGCTGCTGTGTGGCTGTCTGTGCTGCTGCTGCACACTGGGCTGTAGCTTGTGGCCTGTAGTCTGTCTTAACAAAAGAGTAAGTATATGTTTCATTCTTCTTATTCTATTTATTTTGCAATTACTGATAACATTAAATAATGTTTAATAGTATCATCCCAATTTCAAACCCCTTTTTTTGTCTCACTTCCATTCAAAAGGTTATTCCATTTTCCATTCCTTGCAAAATAGAAAAAATATGTTAATGAAGTAAATGATACAAAATTGCAAATTAAATTAATAGTTTTAGGAATAGCTAATCCCATCTCATTTCGAAGAACAGCATGGATTATATGATAACCTAAATTTCCAGGATTTCTAAAGGTCTCAGAATTGAATTAAATGAGTGTAGAACGGGACATTGACCTTCAAAGACTGCCTGAACTGGAGAGAAAATTACTTTTCCTCTTCTCACTTACACCCCTCACACCCAAGAATTTTTTTTTTATATATATATATTAAAAAATAACTTTTTTTATTTGTATGTAGTAGTTACCATAACTGTGCTGTGGTTTCTCTGACGTATTTTATTGTGCTGTTTCTATTAAGAACCAATACTTTTTTTTTTCCTATTCAGGAAGTTTAAAGACTTCCTTTTTTTATATATATGTATTTTTTTTTTCCAACAGAAAGTTGACAACTCTTGTAATCAGGTCCAAAGCAATAATTCTGAAAAGAGCTTTAGCAATATCAAGTAAATACGATCCTAATTACCTCTGTGGTTTACATTTAGAATCAATTTATCACTGCAGTAAATGTTTAGGAAATACATAAATAGCTATAGTGTAATGATATTCTTTGCAGCTATGTAGTTTGTGAGACTTGTAGCCATAAGATCTTATTATCCTCAAATGTAAATAGTATGTAGGTGCACTAGTGAAAAAACTCTCACGCTTGTCAATTTAATTATAGGAAAAGTTCTTAAGTAAAAATCTGTTTAAAAATACTACTTCTGGCTTTTGGGAGTTTATAATCTGTAATAAAACAAACTGAAAGCAAAACCAAGTAATAGGCATTGCTTTTCAGAGAAAATAAAACAGAAGTGTTTTGCCAGACTTTCCAACTTGCTCAAGAAAATAACAGTTGCATTGACTGAGGTTTTGGTTGGAAAAGTAAATTAAATGCACTAAAGGCATAACACATACCTTGTTGAACTGCTAATTGGTGTAGCCTCTGTCACTAAAATGTTCCAGAACTTGTTTTAGCTCTTTTTAGCTGCTTTTAGAAACATTCTTATTGCAGAGGAATATACTTTAGGTAATGAGATGGAATATTTGCTGTTTTAAAAGCGTATTTAATGTTCTTGTGCTAGTAAAAATCTAAATAAATGCCCATATGATGTTGTAGTGTTAATATAATTCTCAGGGATGCAAATAATATGTATTAAGTAGGAATAAGGAAGATTGTGTTACTTCATGTGACTTCTGTGGGTATGTGTGTGTGTGTATATAAGAGCGATTTGATCACTCTAACAATCACAAGTATAAGATGGTTCTTATTTTTCTCTTGTGGTGGGTTCAGCCTGGTCAGCAACTAAGCACCCACCAGCCACTTGCTTACTCACTCCACCTCAAGCAGGATGGGGGAGAGAATCAGAAGAGCAAAAGTGAGAAAAACTTGTGTGTTGAGATAAAGACAGTGTAATAAGTTGAAGGAGAAAAAGAGAAGAAAACCCAAATGATGCAAAGGTAAATCACCTGCCACCTCACACCAGCAGAATGATGCACAGCCTGTCTCTGGGCAGTGGGCTACTTCGGAAAGAACAGCCCCCAGTTTTATTGCTGAGTGTGGTGTTACATGGCATGGAATATCTCTGGTCAACGTTGTTCAGCAATAGCTAAAACCCTGATGTGGTATCAACACTTGTAGTCATAGATCTAAAACACAGCACCGTACAAGCTGCTGCCAAGAAAATTAACTCCAGCCCAGCCAGTCCCTGTACACTCATCTGTCAACAAAAAGCATTATGAGATCCAAAGGCTGGAATATGAAACTAAATTGAAACAGGTAACAACACATACTTTTTAATTCCAAGGATAGCTTTGTCACTGGAAAAATTTACAAAGAAGTGGTGGATTCTCCACCGTTAAGTCTTTAACTCGGGATTGGATAGCTTTGTAACTTTTTTTAACGAGATGGTGGACCTCACCTACTGTTATTAGCTTTAGCAAAGAAATTGGTGGATGGAATTCTGTGGCATACTGTGCAGGAACTAGAGTAGATCATTACAGTGGTCTTTTTGTGACCTTAAAAATTGCTGAAACTCCAGAAATCTCCTCTCCCACAGCTGTGGAAAGAACAGAACGGGAAGGTCATATGCACTTTGGTATCCAGAAGTTGAAAATACAGGCACTGTTTGTTGTGAGCAGGAGTTCTGTGATGTTGAAATTTTTTTTCAGGATTCACATAACAATTACATCAGCAAAATCTGGAAATTACATGCATGTAAATTACGTGTTGTCAGTAGACCCCCTGTAGTGAGTGCAGTATTTGGCCAAGAGAATTTGGGGGATTCTGTTTTGTTGGCTTGTAGGTAAAAAAATTAAATTCAAAAGGACCTCTTACTAAGTAAATGAATTCTGGGAAAGTTGCAGTCCTAAGTTAACAAAAAACCTGTGGGTGGCTTTTTTCCCTGAAGAAGATCTGATGTTGAGGAGTGAGGAATTGAAGTGATAGGATTTCCACCTGTAATTTCTTTTGCTTGGTTCTGCTTTTATAAAACTAACTTATTTTAAATTAATGCTAAGCCAGAAATGCAATAGTAAGATTCTTCTGGATGATGCTGCATACTGAACCATTAATAATACAGTTTTGACTTATTTTTTAGACTAGAAGATCAATTCAGAAGTTATTAGAATGGGAAAATAACAGACTATATCATAAGGTAAGAAAAGCTACAATGCTTGTTTTTTTTCAGCTTTAATAATAGTGAGTTTTGCATAATTGACATGTATGAATTTTACAATGTTGTTTTAATTCCATACTTTATACTGATCTTAAACCTGTGTCCTAAGTTCCAGATCCTAATCATTTGATACTGCAAATGCTTGTTACGTTACTCATGAAAACAATGCTGTGGTATGCATTAATCCTCTGATAATTATTTTCTTAGCTTGGTTTGCACTGGAAGTTGAGTAAAAGGAAATGCGAAACTAGCAATATGATGGAATATGTAAGTATTAGTTCTCTTACTTATTTGGTATTCAACATAACTATGATTTTATAGAGAAAATCCTCAACTTACTAGACTGTCACCTATCAAAAAAAATCTCTCAGAAAAATGTGTAGTTGTGCTTGACATACACCCATGAAGGCCATTTTTAAGAAGAGCAGATGTGGCATATATTGAGATTTAGAAATTATCACCACTAAACAAGTTTTTGCTTCATAACAATTCTGTGTTTGCACTGCAGGTACACTTGTTTTGGTCTGTAATTTGTAATGAGGAAGACCCACTGGGACTTTGTGCATTGGTGTGATTTTCACACCAGTCCATAATTCTTTAACTTATCCACCTTTTCCATTGGTATTCATAATTACTTTGGTTAAAATTCTTTGTGCAGAAATATTGCATTTTTATTGTAGTGTGGTTTTTGTCTCTTTTTTTTTTTTGCTAGCTCTGAATTTCATAAAGTTTTAACCAAGACATTCAGCCAAGACCAATCTTAGGAAAACAGAATTCAAACTATATCTGTGGTCCTACTACTGCCCCATCCACTGTCATATATAGCCACAAAGATTGTGTAGGCTTGAAGAAAAGTGATAGTGACCCTAAAAAAGTCAAGTGTCCAGAAGCCCTGTAGTTCAAAATTATTGAACCCTCTCCTTTGTTACTCTGGGAAATATTCCCTCCTTACAGAGTATCTCGGATATGTTTAGTCTTATGTAATAGCTAATGTTGCATGGAAATTGTGTTGAAGGTTTGAATTTTTTGGTTACTGTGTTCTGTTCTTGTCTTTTTCCCTTCTTCAACAGGTAATATTAATAGAGTTCTTACCAAAATATCCCATATTTCGACCTGACTGAGGAACAACATTTGATCTTTCATGTTACCTGTCATTTTCTACCCTTAGTGCCTTGTAGATGATTTTGGAAAGAAGATGGTCTACTTTGCTGTGACTTAAAAATGTTCTTCAGTAGAATATTTTCCTTGCTATGTTACTTTCTTTTGTTAAGAAGAGAACAATTTGCACATTTTTTTTTTTTTTATGTTAAATGAGGCTTCTGTGTTGCACTCTGAATTTTTAACATTAACTGATATAGTTGCCACTAGGGATCTAACATCAGTGCTGCTTAAACTTGTTCTGAGCATGCTGCCTTATTAATTTCTATATTTGGTGTCCTCAAATGTACATCCTAATGCCGTGTCATACTATATTTCCTTCTAAACGTCACAATCCTATAAACTCTCAGTAGAAATGTCCAGGTAAGAGTCTAGTAGTAATGATTTTAGTATAACTTGCTTGCATAGGACTTGCAATCAACAGCACTGGTTTTGTCCTGCACTTTGCAAAATCATCATTTACATTAGGGGGTTAATTATTTTACCCACTATGGATTTGTAAATATTGACTCTTTGCATAATCTGAAGTGTGGTATGCCAAGGTTTACAGAATGTAATATAGCTCTTATTCTATTGCCAACAGTTCAACATCATTTTATTGGTTACATTTGCTAGTATCCCTCTGCATGTATAGACCCATTCACATGCTGTTTTTATGGTAAAGCCATAATGAGTTTGTACATACTATCAGATGTGTAGGGCTCAGTTGCACTTTTAGTAAATGGATGAAAAATGCATAGCATTTCTGTCTTTTTTAAGTATTTCAGTTGTTTGTAGCATCTGAAATAGGAAGCTGAAATACTGTTCACCTTTGAAAAAGTTGTATTTGTGGGGTAGATGGCTGCTGCCCTTAGCAAAATATCCTAAGCCCTCTTTTTAAGTTAGGAATATATGAATTTGAAGGAAAAAATGTTTCATACTTGGATACCTTTATTACTAAGGAGAACAATTTGAAACAGGCCAATCAAGGCTGAAGTAACATTTTTATTACTTTGGAGGTGTGGTAGTACTTCAGCATTTTAACGGTTAAGTGACACGGCATCCTTTCCAGTGGAAATAAGTTTTATCTGAATCAGAGTAGTATTTCAAAATATGCTCGTGGGAGGAAGTGCATGAGTTGAAAGGGTTCATGTTTTGGCATTCAGGCATAGTCTAAAAAGCCACATATGCCTTGTGGAATTCACAAGTATTTTTAGATTCTTCCCTGTTTGCCTGATCTCAGGAAGGGAAATAATTGTAGAAAAACTTCCTGTAATGGTTGGCCTAAGCAAGACCACTTCATAATAGTAAGCAAATGAAAATTGATGCAATTTCTATTAACTAGAAATAAAAAAATCGGAGAAAACCCAGCAGATCTCTGGGTATCTGCAAGTGTGATGAATATCACAGTAAGTGTCCAGGCATTTCTTTGCGGCAGCTTGACTCCTTGCAACATCATCCCAAGTTGCTTTTTAGTTTCAGGGTGACTTGGGATTTCCTCTGAATGTATTTGCATCTTTTCAGTATGCAATATTGTATTAAAATATAGTATTTGTAAGACCATCACATTCTAATAACTGTAGTAGGCCAGATTTCTTGTACACAGTGTTTACAAAAGGCCAGTTTTATACAAGGTGTTATTTTCAATCAAATTTCATGCTGTTCTTACTGTACAGCTGAGGGGTGTCAGACTCCAGCATTTGCAGTATTTTCCAATCTGACTGATGCTTCAGACTCTGAAATCCATATGCTTAGTACAGAGGTTTCATTTGACTGGTAGATTGGTAACAACTAACTGTATAATTGTATTTGTAACTTAATTTGAATAAAAAACTACTGTGTTGCTTCAATTTAAAGTTAGCTACATCTTGCAACTCACATCACAGAACCAAGCAGAGTGTTCTCTCCGATTTATTCTTTTGAGGATGAGTGTTAACTGGAAAGCAGAGAAAATACGTAAAGGCAGAAGAATGCAGTGTAAACCAAAACTGAAATAGCACACCCAATTCTACATTATTTCCCTTACAGATAAGTTTCTGGAGTAAATGAAGGGAACTTAGCTTAATTAACAGAACAATTGAAGTTTCTTACTATTATGCCAGAACTTTGTTAGTAATTTTCTTTTATTTTTGTAAGAAACTCAAGAAATTTCAGCAGGTTCTGATTTTCTTCTTTATGTGACTGTATTTTCAAAATATTATTTTCCAACTGAGAGAACAGGCAAGCTGAATGAGAGTTCTAGTAATTGCCAGTGGTGAATGCTGAGCAGTCTTCAGTCTCGCTGCTAAAGAAATCCTCTTCAGTTTGTGCTGACTTCATCATATTAAGTTCAGAATTTATTAGCCTGATTTGTCTTGTTTCTGTGAAGTGCTGTGCCAAGCTGGGAGCTACAGGAGCCCCCAGTCCCTCTGGGCTGCTCCTTGGCCACCCCAAGCTGCTATAGAACCAGAGATCCAAGGCAGAACAAGCTCTTGGCTTTGCTTTCCCACCCTCATCCCTTTGTCCCCTTTCGATGGCCACATCCAGTGCCACAGGCTGCTCTGCCCACAGCAGATTATCTGCCCTTGGGTCTCTCCTGGGCACTGTGAGGCACTTGAGCACAGAATATTAGTTTTTAAAGTTTACATTTTAAATATGTAAATTCTATACACTTTACTTTTCCTTATTTATTAATTGTATAGCCTTCAAACCATGAAAGGGTTTCTTCTTTTTGTATTTGAATAAACATTTAAATACATGACCATAAAGCAACTAGTAAAGAATATGAGAGCCAAAACTGCCATTTACAGTAAGCTCCATGTTTTAATAAGTAGATAAATTTGCATTAAAATGCAAAACCAGTATGCAGTATTATATTTACATCTGAAAAATGCAAGTTCTGTAGCTCAGTTAAATACGAAGGCAGCTGTGAGTACTGCTGTGAACTCTGTGCACTTCTGTTCTGCCCACAGGTTGTTGTTTTTTTGCCTGGGCTATCCTTTGCTTTAATATAAAAACATCCAGTGGGTAATTATACAGTTCGAGTATAAGATCAATGATCTTAAATATATTTTCCAACTAAAACAATTCTAGGATTTGATATCTCCCAAGACTGAAAGTCTCATTTCTGACCATAAGAAGTCAGCATGAATTGGTAAACCTATTTATGGAGGATACTTATTAATTGGAGAAATAATTTGTAGCAATATAACAAGAGATTAACGCTAGCAAAGTGTAGTGGAAGTGGTAAAGAAAGTGCCTTGACTGGTTCCAACAAAAGAGAAAATATTGTGCAGAGAGTAAGGAGAAAAGGGAACTAGTAACTCAGTTGTTTGAGTTTGCAGCAGATTTTTAAGTGGTTACTGTCTACCAAGTCAATGTTTAAATTTTCATATAAACATGTTGACACTAACTTTCCTTTCTAGTTTTTATCTAGGAAATAGTTGCGTTTGTATCTAGTAAGTTTTTGTATCTAAGGAGTATCGAAGTATTAAAGAATGCTGGCAGAGCATCCAAGCTCTTACCTACTGATTCCCCACCTGCATCTGTGAAGTTGTTTTTACTGTAGGAGGGGGGAAAAAAAAAAAAGAGTGCTCCAAGACATGCACAGACAAGTCTAGGAAATGTGGATATAGATGGGTGACTTTAAAACAGAAAAACATTTTTGCTAAATCTGGATAAATTTAAAAAAAAGGTTCCTAAGCTTTCCTTGATAGGTACAAAACGCCATATGCAAAAACAAAAATATATGTTTATTCTCCCACTATGACAGTTTAATACACTTACTTGTCAACACACTACCATTGGAGCAATAAAAATGTCAAGCTATTAATATTAAATGTAAATATTTTTTTCATTTTAGTAAGCAATGTTATGTGATTCTTCTACCATTTTTTTTTTGTTTTGTTTTCTGCTTTTGGTGCTCTTACAGTGTTGTAACATTACTTGTACTGCTTAAGAAAAGTGGTTTTGTTTAAGCTGTATGAAACTGTTCTTAACATTTTTATTCTGTTTACAAGTGAACAGCCACTTTTTTAACAGGACCTCATGTCTTGAAAGTTGTTTTTTTGAGTTTTTTTGTTTCGTTTTTTTAAATGAAAATAAAATTCTAACTGAGCTCACTTTCTACAGTTTACTGCAGTGGCTTATGCCATTAAAAGAAGCTGGAAGTCAGACGTGCTTAATCACTTCGAGACATTTTTCTTTAATTAAATGCAAAGATGAAAACTTTTGAATAGTGCAATGTTTTTATGAAAAAAGAAAATCTTTTGTGTCTCCCCATAGCAGTGTGCTGATCAGCTGCGAATGGAATGGCGGTGGTTTTCTTTAAATGAGACACATTTCTGATACGGCCAGATCAGGTGCTTGTCTTGGGACTTAAAGCATGGTTTGACTGGTTTAAAGATCAAGACTTGGAAAGCTTAGCAAGGCTTTCCAAAAAAAAAGAAAACTGCAGAATGATCGTCACATTTAGTCTTCCAGATAATTTGTTTGGTTGGCTTACAGACCCTCTGTTTTAAGGACTTCTTGTTGGAGTCTTTTGCTGCAGCATTCCTCTCCGAAAAGCAGAGGGTTTTCTCCTATGCTAGTTGCACCTCAAAGGGAGCCTAACCTGACTGTGGATTGTGTGTGTGTGTATGTTAGCAAAATAAATCACTGGCTTATATAAAGGATTGTGAACATAGGACAATGCAGCCTTTTGTGTGTGTTAACAGGCTAGCTTTGTAGCTGTGAAAGCAGGACTTCAAATTAAAGCCTTTGGCTCATCCCTGAGGGAGGAATATTGCATTCCTGAAATGGGCACGTGCAATGTTTTTGTTGAAAGTTGGTGTCCTCAGTTATTTTAGACAAATACAGGAGCATCTGGGTTGATGTGCTGTTTAAGCATGGAACCGTTACTGAATATTGTTTGAGAAATTTAGAGAATGTTACTGTGGTGTTAGGCCAAATATAGGAATGTTGGGCTGCGTCATGAAGCTCATCCCCTGTTAGGGTTTGAGATGTAATTGCCTAGACTACCAGCAAAGATCCATTTTAAGAGTATTTGGGATTTGGACCTGACTTTTACTATTGGAAGGCAGTTTTAGAACTGTTTGATAGTGAAGCTTACTGTAATGTCTGAGCCAGTGTATTTATAACGCTATATGTCTGTCATGTCAGTGGTGTTCTTCAGCATAAATAGTTGAAGTGTTCCAGATGAGTTTAGTTTTCTAGTTAAGCTTATAGAGCCGTAAACCCTCTTAGTCTTCATTTGCTAGACAAGATGAAATGTTAGTCTCTTCTCAAAAGCAAAGTTCTCTGTTTCTGATCATCATACTTGCATTTGCTGGCATTTATTCCAGTTTAAATTAATTTTCTTTGAATAAGGGTGACCAGAAACAATTGGATATTCCAGATAATGGCTCATGGCTAAAACACCAAGTATTTAAATGTAGACAGTTCCCTCTCTGTGAAAATAATGTGATCCATTTAAAGGATCGTTTGGGACTTTCTCTGTTCAGTAATTTCCAGCTTACACAGCTCCCACAGACACTCATTCCCAGTCCTATCAGTCCACAGTCATCATTTGACACTTTCTACTGTTGAATTTCTCAATACTTACAGTACAGTGGTCCTCCTAGTCCTCTAACTCAATTCTCGTATATGCGCTCCCATTCCTCCTGTAAAAAAACCAAAACAACAAAAAGCAAACCTTTGTCACTGACTGATTCCATCTGCAAAGTTAAAAATGTTTTTACCAAAAAGATTAATTCCAAGATTGATACCAGAATTCTGCTTGTAATTTTCTAAAAGCCCTTTTACTTAGTCCTTTATCTAACAATTTTTTTCTATTATTTCTCTATCTGACTGAACCAATAATTTCCTCGTTGTAGTTTATCTGGTAGATCTAACCTGTTTGGCCTTTGTTGATTTACAGCTATTTGTTTTGTAAACATGT